TTTAGTGAAATTTCTGGAGCCCAGTCTGGATCATAATCACTGTTATCGCTCAAATTATCAAAAATCGGTAATGGTGATAGATCTTGTTTTGGTTCAGATGAAATACTCGGTTCTTCAGTGGCTTGGAATAGGCTAAAGCTTTGATCAGTTGATTCCATAACCTCTTCTATTGCGTTCAATTCTGGACATTGTATGCCTAGATCTTCCGGCATAATCAATGAAGCACTGGAGTTGCGCTCAACTCTTTCTAGTTCCTCAGAATTGAAATCATCAGTATTTTTCTGATTAATTAACAGCTCAATATCACTTGAATTAAGCGGTTTATTCATTTTTGTAGTTTTACTATTACCAATAACAATTTTTACCTATCTAGCGGTTTTACACATATGACATTTTGTCATATTTATTTTCCTCTAACTATAACTTAGTCATACGATTATAAACTCTTTAGCACATAAGATATTTTAAGTGCCAACTTTACTTGAGCACGCACTTAGGATATATTGAATAAAGTAAATAAATAGAAATTGAACAGACTTAATCACATGGGAGTTCTTGCTTTCGATGTAGCGCCAAAATTTCAAATAAACCCGTATAAAAAAGGTATTTCGACAAAAATGACACATAAGAGGTCTTGAAGTCGCAACGACGATATGGAGAATTGGAGACATGAGAATAAAGATTTGCTATTTGCAGGATCACGCAACTGTAAATTTTGTCTTATTTTTTTTAAATCTTATTCACACTATTTTTTCATCTGCCTTTTACACACTACCTTGCTTTTTTTCTAGACAGCTAAAACAATGTATAAATATCAGCTTCAAATGATAATTTTAATATAACCAATATCCATATATTTTGCATTAAATATTTTTTTGCAATAGACTAATAAGATTCATATAAAAAATAATAGTATAGTATAAAGTTTGGAAGTCTCATCAATCACAGTATACAATGTATGCATGTTCTTGAATATAGTATTTGAAGTTTCTCTTTGGGATCAGCCAATTTGGTACGATAGCAAAAAAATGTCTTTCACGTAGAATTGTAGAAATATTCCGTTTTTTTCAACGGAAATTCGTTTTTTGCGATTTTATTTTTTAATGTTAGCATTATTCCGAATGAATTCAGAAACATTGATGATGAAAATTTAAGTGTTAATAAGCCAGTTAGCCTTTCTTAACACTACATTAATAATAACTTAATGTGGACGTTTGAAATTCTTTTTCGTTAAACCGCGTCACTAGCTAAGTTGGATATATGCTCATATTAATGTTTTTACGTGGTATAGGGGTTGTTTGAACTTTGGATTTGTAAAGCATTTACGGTAGAGTAAGCATGATACACAGACCAATGAGGAGGAAATGCTTTTCCGCCAGAGTAAAGCTGTTTCACCAGAGGAAATGATGAATATTACACTATTGTGGTTGTAAAATTCTTATCCTTTGAACAATACGTGCTGCTTGGACGCATACAGATAAAATGCGTTTTTGTGAGTTTAGTTAATTTCAAAGCATACTTTACTGGGTTGAGCAGTTAAGTGTCTCACTTCACCTGCGTACACAAAAATGTATCGTATCCGCTGAAAAAAGGGTAACAAGCATTATTAAGCTAGGCGGAATTGAGTTAAAAAGTTTTTAGCTTCCATTAGGGAAAGTTAACTCGCTCCTTTTCAGTGTAAGCATTTGTAATAATCGTGAGTTAGCGTCATAGCACACATCAACTCGAAGAGGGATCGATACCGACTCACCTTTCGACTTGCTTTCAAACAGGCGTCCACCTCATGTAAGCAAGTAACAGTCAGCGATTAAGAAGCTCATGTACATACATTCGACGCCTCACTTACATTATAATATTCATGTATTAATATAAATCCGAAGACTACCTTTTAATAATATTGAGATTTGCACCAAATTCGCTTTGCCGCCACGCTTTCTAGAAGTTAGGACATATACAGAAAAATGCAGCGAGTTCGTTTTATATTATTTAAAGATTTTGTTTTATTGTATTTATGAATTAAAAATAATGGGCAAACCTGAAAAATGATATGGACACCATAAAAATAGTGCAAGTAATTATTTTTATTTTTCGGTAGTTACGATCTGACTGAAGTAAATCCAGTTATAAAATTACAACTACAAACAGTCGGCAAACCTCCAAATACTATTTAATTATCATAAAAGTAATAATGATATTTATTTTCATTAAAACCGGCATAATGAGTAATGTTACGTATTTTTCGTTGAACACTGCATTTAATTTAAATTTTTGAAGCTGGTGAAAACGTATGTCAACTGAAGAGATCGCTTTATGGAATTAAGGAAGCAGGTCTTCAATTGAATATTAGAATTGGATGAAGAAGATGATGGTACTAAATTTTTTGTGGTTATCTATGTCGAAGACATTTTGAATGCGTCAGAACAGAGCTCTGTTATAAAAACTTTTACAAAGGAACTCTCGAAAAACTCAAATGGAGGTGTCTAAGTTAAGTAAATGAAAATGTTGTTGAAGATTCTAAACAGTGGTCATATCGAACAAATTGATTCCTAACCAACTTGCCCGATAAATCCTATTATGATCCCAAATGAGTTGTATTTAAAGCAAAATGTCTACAAACTTATATCACCTAGAAAGTAGAAAGCCTAAATTTTAGAACGACTATGAATCAAAATGCCTAAAATAAATGTCTTAAGAATCAAGGTGTAAGACTAAACATCTATCAGTTATATGCTTATATAATTAAAAATATAAGGTGTACATCTTTTTTCTTTTATGTAATTTTATTCTTTATAATAAATCTATAGGAAATTCTGTCTTTGAAATTCTAGTTTTGGCCAAAGCTTTCACAATTCTATTTTTTATTTTTGTCTCTATTCTACACACATCAAAAGTGTCTAGGGATCAACATATATTTTTGCAATAACTTTTCTCCTGATTGATATTAATTAAAATTTTCTTTAAGGATTCATCAAATAAAGTGTTTTCGTTTGTCACAGTAACGATAAACCAAGTCACCTTTGCATTAATAAAGAAATTTGCCATTTTCCTAATAAAGGGATTTTTGACATTTGAACCACTAACACAAAAGTTCGAAAAAAAGACTGAAATAACAGTTTTCTCTAAAATTTTATTGGGTAACTTAAACAATTAATAATCCGTATTTCTACCGCGAACACTAACAACACAAGAACATCGGTTTGGCATACTCAAAATGAGTTCATCCAAATCACGCTGTGGAATGGCCGCCCATGTTCGTTGCAACAACAAAAAAAGGTCTTCTTGCGACTGGATACCCTCCATATTCGGCAGAGCTCTTCTCTGTAGCATATCCCATGCATGCTCAATCGGGTTCAAGTCTGGCGACTGAGCAGGCCAGGGCAGGACATTGATGTTAGCTGCGGCGAGAGTCTGTCTTACAACTCTTGCGGTGTGCGGTCGTGCATTATCATGCATTAACTGAAATAAGGGACCGATTTGCACTTGTAGAGGAACGATGACGTCTGATACAATCGTCTCAGCATAAATTTGAGCGTTGAGGTTGCCTCTGATCCAAATCAACTCAGTTCTTCCGCCGATCCAAATACCCGCCCATACCATGATGGTTCCACCACTATAAGGATGGACTTCCTGGCAGGATTTTAATCGCTGTTGGCGTCCAGGGGTTCTCCAGTGTCGTATACGTCTTGTATCCGGTCTCATACCAAAACGAGACTCATCAGAAAAGCACACGAAACGCCATTGTTCTTCTGCCCAATTTCTGTGTTCAAGAGCCCATTGATATCGAATCCTACGATTGTGCATTGCTATAGGTGGTACCCGTAGCGGTCTTCGGGAATGAAGGTTCACTTCATGCAAGCGGTTTCTGACTGTTTGGTCGCTAATTAAGTTCCCTGAAGAGTGATGAAGCCTCACGGCTAACATCATGGCGGTTATTGTTGGAGCTCTTCGAGTTAAGATTTGAATGTATCGGTCTTGTCCCCGTGTGGTGCAGCCATACCGTCCTCCATGGCGCTCAGCCACGGTACCAGTGCTTCGGTATCGTGTCCAAAGTCGACTGATAACACTCTGACTTGTATTCAGAGCTAAAGCCACAGTACGTTGCCGGGAACCAGCTTCTATCATTCCCACGGCTCTGAGCATTTCTTCCCTGCTTAAATGACGTCGCCGCTCCATAATAACGTTGGTTTTAATCAGTAGTAGGGAAACAGTAGCACTAATAATGTCTTCAATGCGTTGTATGTTTTTATAGGGAAAATATTGACAGCTGATTTTCATCTTTTACTCGAATTTGATTCACAGTTCCTGATTCAAATTATGAAATGCACCAAAAAGGATCCATATAAATTTATAAAATCATAAATTTATTACAAAGCCACATCTCAATCTCAAGAAATCCGCATAAAAATGCTTGATCCCTAGACACTTTTGATGTGTGTATATATTCTTCACTTTCTGTAAATTTTATTGTATGCAAATGTTATCTGAAATTATGGTGCTAGTCGCACCATAATTTCACTTGGTCGTTAGCCCGAATATGAAAGTCTATGGAATTCGGACAAACGGCTACGTGTAAATGAACGGAGTCCAGTACGCCTGTTTTCGTTTCGATCCAGTACTCGAAAACAATGTAATTATGGCTGCGGATGCCCGAATTCTAGTAATGTCTTTCGTGCACCTGAATACGGGCTAACGGCATATTTTTTTTTTCATTTTATATTAGAGAAAATAATTTTAAGTTTGTAAATATCCGAAGACCAAGAGCAGAAGATCTAAGACATTAGATGATATAATAGTATCTGTAAGCTGTTTGCTGTAAATACGTAATAAAAATATTCATTTCAAATAATTTTCAAATATTCATAAATATGAATACTGATTTAGGTCTACGTAATTTAGCTAATGCTGTCCGTATTGTTCATGTTGTAGTCGTGTAAACAAACTATCTTGAGCGTACGTATTTTTATAACGTGTTGCAAACGTATAAATTGTTTGTTTGGCAAAATAGCTTTGTTATATGTATTTCGGTTCCCAGTCATTGCTCTTGTAAAGGTTATCAATTTGATGCAGTATTGCGTCAATATACGAGGATGGGTTAAAAAGTGGCGTAAGGTGTGTAATATTTAAAACAGGCCGTCGTCGTCTTCACTTCATTCAAAATAAATCATGTAAGCATTTTTTCCAACAATCAAATAAAATATAATACTGCTAAAACATAAAGCGGAAAAAAATTAACTGCATGCAGAAACGCAAATATCTGTTTAGATTTTAATTTTAGTCGGGTTTTACATTAAATTTTATGTTTGTATTCAGCACTAATGTCTTTGATATTTTATTTCAGAATAGTCGGTGTTTTTTGTTGCACTTCTAAGTTGTTTTTTTTTTCTGAAGTATTAATCCTAGAGATATAAGAGGAAAGATTCTTAGAAAATGCGAAATTTGTGGCGGCATGAGAGCAAGAAAACCTCTGGCATATCTTTGGGCGGATTCCCACTGGAAGGTAACAGATAAATAAACTAGCAAATGTATTATTTATTGCGTAAACAAATGATCGTGAATTTGTTTTTTGGATGTACAGTCAGATACTTTAATTCGGGATCCATTTCATTGCAATATGGTTTGAATATTCGCATTGCGTTAAGGTCGATATCTCCAGAAGAATATGGCGATGATACGTCAAGTTTAAAATCTTTTTGTATTTATTGACATTTCTGAATATTATCTTCCTTTTTAAGCGTATCATTCCGTTTTTAAGCTTTTCATTGTGATAATTATATCAGTGTCGCATTATGTAGCTCAAAGTGTATTGAAAATCTAAGAATAAATTTACACAAATAATTTTTTGGAGTTTACTCCTTAAGAATCGATTTGCATATATAAGGGGCCCGGTATGAGAAAGATGTGAGGAGTAAAATCTATCGATGAATGACCTCGTTGCGTTTTTGGTGCGCATCCTATGTCGCGCAACTTTGACAAACAAAGATGACGGATTGACATTAATAAAAATTTTAAAATCTGAACTGAATTTAGATATTGTTTCTGATAGAGCAATGGGGACAAAAAGGTATGGTACAACCAGTGATGCGGTATTTTCAAGATTCGTGAACCACGTATCTACGAACGTCCATGTGTCTTATTTTAGTTACCATAAACCACTTGTCACTGTAATTAATAATGCAGACAATGTTCATTTAATTAATATTTAAAAAAAATGATAATAATGACATATTTATGCACATCTGAAATTGACTATTGTAAAAAGTTTAATGTAAAATATTTCGTCGATTAGTTATAATAAATGTATATGAAATGAATAAATAGTCAATATCGTTTATTCAGTCTAGGCTGTTACAAGCACTTGTGAATGTCGAAAAGCTACGCCATCGGTTCGCAAATCTACGGCGGGAGACCTTGTACTGAGAAGAACCGGCAAGAAACTCAGCAAGGACTGTTTTTTTCTTCCTGTATTATGTACAGAGTCGTCAATTTGAAAAATGACTTCAATATGAGATAACTCCTGAAGTTACTTTACATTACAAATGTAAATGATAAAGCAATTATGACTATAAAATAAAAAATATTAAAAACAGATTTAAAAAAAAACAAAAGTTTAGGAATGCTATGTCCTACTGTTTAGGCATAAAAACAAATTTACCATTAAAGTTAAATACAACGATTAATAGTATGTAGCAAGAGCAGACTCATCTCCGCTGGCAGCACCCGTTCACGAGCATGACGCATGAACGAGCCATCGCTTCGCTCAACCATTTTTAGGGAACGTAACGACCCGCCTCACACGACACCGCTGAAGAGATTTTTAAGAGAGCATGACTACTCATAACCACATATGAATACTAGATAGCAAAATAGGGGGAGGGGGGGGGGGGGAATTAAGTACCAGTGTACATTACTATAAAAAACTATAAACACAACTGTAGGACACATGCATGTGATTACCTAAATACTAATGTCGACTCTGCCACTACCCTCCAAACCCAAAACCAAACCCAACATCAGTGCCCCCCCTTCACTCTGTATAGAGAATGACAAGGATGCACCGCTGCAAAACCAAAGTTCAGGTCTAGAGAACCATGCCAGAATCCACACCACCATTAAATCTTTATCTCAGAAATAATAAATGTTCACCTAAATTTTGATTGCTGTGCCATACAGTATAAATACAATTACAAATTAAATTAAATAATTAATTATTATTATAATAATAAAGTAGTATAGAGCAGACTCATCTCCGCTGGCAGCACCCGTTCACGAGCATGACGCATGAACCACCCATCGTTTCGCTCAACCATATTGTAGGAAACGCAACGACCCGCCTCACACGACACCGCCGAAGAGATTATATATTTATATATGTATATTATTTTCATCAATTTGTTAATTTACCCTATCATACAGTATCAATCTTTTTTAAGTTAAATAAACTCTTTTTGCGTCTGGTTAGACTATCGAACTTAAGGAGTAAACTTCAGTCGTGCGTCGGAGCTGACACACACATTTTTTTTTCTTTATTTCTTTTACTATATAATTTTTTTATTATAATGATACCAATTATCATTATCAGAAAGAGCAGTAGGCAAGTTAAATAGATTGATTGATTGGTAATTCTCGTACGTTTTTCGGATCCGTAAGGTTGGCAATTGTTTCTATAGGTAGTTGGTCCTGATTAGCCTTTTCTCTCTCCATATTGTTGCTCACTGTTGTTATTTTATTTTTGTTGCTATGTTTATTGTTTTTTTTTTACATACTTGTGTAAGGTCAATAAAAGCTTTTTCTTTCTTTCTTCCTTCTATAGACATAATTTTTACAGTGCTAAAACCTTGTTAGAAGCAACGTTTTCGGTCAAAAAATCTGCTCTTAATTATTCATATTTGCTATCTGTTATTCAACTTTAGATAGATCACAGATTAAAGAACGTCATTGTACTACTTTGTCATATAAATGGATCTGTTTTAGAGAAACACAATTAAGTCTTCATTTCAGTCAATAGCAAGTTTGTTTTTTTTTATAATAGGTCCGACAAATGACTTCACCTCTCCTGATGTTAACTGACGACGAAGATAGCTGGTGCAACAGTTCTACCTGCCACATCAGCCATCCTCACCTTGCCGACATGCATTTGGATTCTTCGCGCCTCTTTTAAAGTCTGTTCGATCGTCTTAAAATACATGCCAGTTTTCTTAACGAATGCCCTTCGACGTGGTCAAATTATACTTCGTGTCAAGAAGCCAGAAAGAATGTCTCGTCGCTGAGAGTAGTGAATAATTGAGCTAAAAGAGCTGTTAAGTTAATGCAAGACTTTTATGGCTTAATCACTGTCGAAGAGGAACGAAAACAATTTCTGTAATGATATGCTCAGGCACACGGGAAGGTTTATCTTGATAGTAAAAAACAAACCTGTTTTTTTTTGCTGCTGCAGAGAATTCTATCTTCATGATTTTTTTAATAACTCAAGGGCATTGGCGTGTACAATTTAAAATCTAGGTTTTTGACAAACTCGTGACGACAATGTTCAAATTATGTTCATTAAGTTCCTCCAAACAAAATAAGTTTGGAGTAAGAATTTGCCCAATGAAGACCAGTTTAGAACCCGATATTTGGTGTTTTAAAGCTCCAATTAAAAACATATCTTTTTAGAGCTGCTTAGATCAAAAGACATCTTGCCTGAATCAGTAATATTCGATTAGTATCAAAAAAAGCAAGTTACTTCAAGAGCATTAACACGTTTGCTGGCGGGCGTTTTAATACACATGTACTGACATGTCTCGATGCAAGTCAGCACGGGTGCCTTGGTCCCACGTTGACACTATTCTATTTACAAGTGTTTTTTTAGGTTTTCACGCACACCACTCATTAAATCAAACGTATATTATAAGTGTTTTGTCATTTAAAAACAAAATGCGTTAAAAAATAACAACTTTTTTTTGGGACACCCTAATGTAAGAGCAGGCTTACTCAGATCTTGAGGAACTTTATTAAACAGTGCAATACTACAACCCAGAAATGAATAACTTGATTTTTGGATTCTAAAACATGGAACGGCAAGCTTGTTCTTAAATCTCGTGTTAAAGTTATGGGTTTTTTTTTTTTTTGCAAATGCGTATTTTTTTTCTTACATATATTTTCATAGATTTATTGCGATGCCAGTATTAAAATATTATTTTCTTTAAAAATTTCTCTGAGAGTATTTTTTGCCTTCAAGTTGTATATGGCGCGAACAGCTCTCATTTGCAGTATGTAACTATATTAACAGCTTAGCCCCACGACAAAAGGCCATATGTTATAACGCTATGAAAATAACCAAAGTAAACCAATTTTGCGCTTTCCACATCAGTTAAGAGTCTTACTTTTTTAACAGCAAAAGCCGCGGAGCTTATGTCTAATACATCAATATGAGGATCCCATTGCAAATGCGAGTCTTAAGTAAAACCGAGAAACTTTTTAGAATCCAGTAACTCTACAGCCTGATTATTTGTGTCTTTATTAGTATTAAGCGGTCTCACATTAGGCAGAGTAAATCTAACACAATTTGTTTTACTAGAGCTTAGTTTTAGATTATTTACTGTAAACCAATGAAGGACTTCAGAGAGAGCACAATTTACTTCATCATAACAATCATTTCCTTTTCTAGATGAGGTATCATAAGCAAATAGTACTGTCTCACACAAATCTTTGGTAAAGTGTGGAAAGTCATTGACATAAATAAGAAACACAATGGGCCTAATATTGAATATTGGGGTACGCCCATTGAAATGGGTGCTCTTAAAGATTCAGCTTCATTTATAACTACTTTCTGTATTCTAGCAGAATGATAAGATGGTATCAGACATATTGACAAACATAATTCCTCATTTTATTAAACAATGTATTTTGGCTAACGCAGTCATACGCCTTTGATGAGTCACAACAAATCCCAAAAGCGAGGTATCTATTCTACCATATGTGAAAAATGTGTTTGAGAAGTGCAGTTCTAGCATCAGTAGTAGTAAGCCTCTAGTGAAACCAAACTGTTTTGAATGAAACAGCTTATTTATAGGAAAGTGTGCTAGTAATTGGTTGTAAATTACTTTCTCAAATACTTAGCGCTGGTAAAATAAAATTAAAAAGTTAAATAGTCCTAAAATTGCTGGGATCTGATTTGTCACCAGCCTTAAAGAGAGAGACACCTTTAGCACATTTCATTAGGTCTGGAAACACTCACTTATCAATACATTTGTTATATATACACACATCAAAAGTGTCTAGGGATCAACATATATTTTTGCAATAACTTTTCTCCTGATTGATATTCATTAAAATTTTCTTTAAGGATTCATCAAATAAAGTGTTTTCGTTTGTCACAGTAACGATAAACCAAGTCACCTTTGCATTAATAAAGAAATTTGCCATTTTCCTAATAAAGGGATTTTTGACATTTGACCCACTAACACAAAAGTTCGAAAAAAAGACTGAAATAACAGTTTTCTCTAAAATTTTATTGGG